TCGTTTTTCTCTCTGTAAAAAATACATATTGTATAATATAATTCACAGTTAATTCAGTTGAATTATACATATTGTATGGATGTTACTTAAAATATGAGAAAAAAATTTTCCGTTAAACTCCTTCGCCCATTTCCGGCGAAGGATCTCGCTGATCTCGCGCACCAGTATCGAAGTCTCCAAACAACCCCCTTAGAACGACTAACGCGCCACGCAGCGGAGGGTGCTGGTCGCGTTTCTTTCTCGATCGGCAAGGTAGGATGTCATTGTCGGTCCGGGGGGCCCGGGTTACCGACATTATGCATCGGCGAACGCGCGCGACGCGGCCATCTTGGAAAACGAGCGGGCGACGCGGCGATGTACGAAAAACAAAATGAAAGCGCTTGCGCCGCCGCTCCGGTATTGAGCGAGGCCCCCGGCGCCTTTTTGCATTTTCATCCCCCGCCCCTGTCCTCCACCTAGCCGACTCTTGCACACCCCCTCGCCCTTCGGGCCCTCAGACCGCTACCACCCCTCGCTGCGCTCCCTCGACGTATATTCCCCCACGCCATCAGCCGCGCTCCTTCTCGCCCTCTTCCTCCTCGTCCTCCACCGAGCGCGACTCCGGCGCGTTTCTGCTTCCTTCAACCCCTCTCGCCGTAGGCAGCGTCATGGCTGTTTGCTTTTTTGCGTTTTAACACGTTTTTAAACGGACGCAAAAATAAATACTGCGTCTTGATTGGATCAAGGTCTCGTCGTTGATCGGCTTTGCCGATTTTATGCTGGAGACGCCCGTCGACATCGATTAAACCTCCTGCTTTTTTCTTCTGTCTTGGCTCTTCTTTCTATGATTTAGCGTAGCGTGGCAGCTTTACTGTCGAGTGTTCGGATCGAATATCGGTAAACAAGACAGTTGTTTTCTCGCGAAATCGATTGCCTCTCCGAGAACACGGAGAGTCTTGCTCGTTATAATACGAGGGGAGTCCATGCGGATCGTATCCGCGCGCGGATAGTTGCGTGGCGCCCTCTTACCCGAGGAACACGTCTAACGAGTGGAGTGAACCGGCGAAATTGTTGTATCGATTTAACGGTACGACAAGCTTGTTGTACATTCTGTTTGCGCCATTGACGAATTTGTGCTGTAACTGAGTTACAGCACGTGCCACTCCAAACGATAGCT